TTCCGCGCCCTTGTCCTCGACGAAATACTGCAAAAATCAAAATAATATTATAATCTTCTTATTACAACTAAATGTTAAATATATATAATATAGCTTAATAATCATTAAATAAATATGAAATTTATATTTATATTTATTTACATAAATAACATACCATTTGGCTGCTGCTGCTGCGATTGCAACTGCGATTGTTGCAGCTGCAATTGCGGTTGCTGTGGCGGCTGCTGTGGCGGTTGCTGGGGCGGCTGCTGGGGCGGCTGCTGGAGCGGCTGCTGGGGTGGCTGCTGGGGCGGCTGCTGGGGCGGCTGCGGTGGCGGCTGCTGTGGCGGCTGCTGTGGCGGCTGCTGTTGCAATTGTTGCGGCTGTTGCTGCTGTTGTTGCAAACGTTGCAACATTTGGCCATGTTGCCGCAACATCGCCATTACTGTTCTTTGGAAATTTCTACAGAATGAAAATGTTTTGTAATTTATTTTAGAATTTACGTTTTAAAATATATAATAAATTATGTTACTTTAACATTAAAAAATATTTTAATGTTACATTGATTATCAATTGATTATCTATATTATCTATAAATTGATTATCAATTTTACACAAAATATTCAAATAATATAATCATATATTATATTGAATTAATACTTGAGTATATAAAATATTCAACGTAAACATTTTTTAATATGTAACTGACAAAGTTAACATTAAACAAAATGTTGCTTACTCTGTAGGAGTTTGCTCGTCCACCTCCAAGAGCATTCGCTCAGCCTGATCCGTAATTTCTTCTAAAAAAATAAAAGAATTAATAATCTAATGTATATATACACATATATATATATATATATATATATATATATATACGCATGTATTCGAGGTACTTGTATATATCAGCAATTATTTGAAAAAAGTATCTCTTGCCGTGCGGAAAAAGTTGAATTCGATTCAACTTTTACTTCTTATCTTTACTTTTATTCAATGAGAAATTATATGCTAGGTTATGACAATATGCATTGCACGACTATGTCCATAATATATGA